ACAGCCTCTTGTTACCTTACCATTAATTTAAAAAGCAAAGGAATCGGGTGTGGACAATTAAAAACCCACAGGTCTTGAAAGGCAAGTTCTGATCATAAATTATTAGTTATCTTTAAGTTGCAAAGAAATTTACCTTTTGTCAAAATAGGATGACTATAGTTCAGGCCTGAACTTGGGGTTGTGCAAAGTTGAGATCAAATTTTAGGTAACTAATATAGTAAATAAGATACAAGAAAAAATAGGGCATCTTTGTTAGTGCCTGAATGTTTTAAAATTTCCAATTGTTTTTCTTGCATGCGTACGCACCTAACTAAGCAGGTATCCAAGAGGTGACCTACTCGCAGAAGCTTTGTGCAGCTTTCATCCACATAGAGTTTGAAAGATGAAAGACCGCAAGTTAAATCTGAGTGTATGGCTGCCAAAGGCTGAAAAAATGGATCATTAGAATACCTATATTGGTTAATTAGTTACATCATAATTTAAATTGTGCTGTTTTGGCATAAGTGACCCAAACGCATATCCAGCAAAAATTTAAGTAGTTACCTTCTATGCTTTAGTAACCAAATTTAGGGGAAAAGTGACCAGTTTAATGATTCTATTTCTGGTGATTAGATGCCAGATTTACAATTACAGACGCGACCACTCAAGTGCTTCATCAACAACACACACAATTTGAGATCGGTAACTTCCCACACAACAATTGCGACTTTTGAAAGCTGTAATTTTTGTGTTGGAACTTAAACACAAGCACTCTGTCAAAGAATGGGCTTGGTCACATTATGTGTAGTGCCGGGTATTTGGGTGAATTAATAAGTATCTTATCTCAAGAGGAAACCATGGATTGCAGAGAGCCCGCCGACTGTGGTGCTTTGGATGAGATGCCAAGGTTTCAGGACCTACTGTTATTTTATTAAAATGTCGTCAGCAACTTCTGGGGAAAATGACCCCCACCCCCTCATTAAAAATTCCCCAAAAATTGCTTCATAAATTTTGAATCGCAAAACTCAATTTTTGTAAATTTGGCAAATGAGTGCTTTCAGCAATCTGTAGTTTAGTTTTGAAATGCTTAACACACGCATACCTTTTCTCACCGATACTTGTTATGCTGCGTAACAAATTAAGACTTTCAAACTAATAGCCGTCTGGAAATTTTTCTACTGGAAAGCTAGATTCAGGCTCGCATTGTACACTGAATATCAAGCTATGAGTTTCTCAGCAGATCTGATGGGCCGAAATCTCTGAATTGCAATTCAGCAAGCATGAAAAGATACAAAAAACTTTTGTTACCTTGCTCCCATAAACGTTTGTTATCCATCCTTCGCGCTTGCAGGCTAAACGAAATGATTATCATCGCACCATTCAGCACTCTACAGCGATAAAACACAACATAACAATCTCTGCTGCAACCATGCCACGGATGCCATGCAAGCCATTAGAGCCATGTACTTCATATGCTCCCCGCATCCTCGTGGCCGCCATCTTTGCCCCGTGTTTACCGCCGCCACTGACGATTCCCACCAATTCTAGCAACACATTTTTCTTTCTAATGTTCTCAATTTTTCTTTTTGTACTTGATATTGAAAAGATTGGTTGCAACTTTATGCTGAACAAAAATGTTTTAATTGGAACCCCCAATAACTTAGTTTAATCCCACCAAAAATTATTTATTAAGTGGAAGCAAATTATTCAATAGTACACATTATCCAATTAAAAAACAGCAAAAATGTACTATCATTTTGATTCGGATCATCAATTAGATAGGCCAATTGGGAACTTATTTCATTTGAGATAACCAGTTGAAAATCTGAAACCCAATTTTAAGCTGACCAGTTGGTTGATTCTGTATACCGTATTTTCCGATATGGGTATGTCGCGTTTTGTTTGAAACATTTTTTATGATGCGTCTTGTACAACAATGCAAGTTATATGCATTCTTTTATAAATTCACAGTGCGACTTAATTTTTTTTTATGCTCCGTGCACTATATTTCGTAGAGCACCGTAACCGCGTAGCCATGGGTGATGTTGCCCCTTCCAGGAGTCACTGCTGTCGCCACACTCTTCTACACTTTTCATAACTGACTCAGAAAGCGAGAAATTTTATGATTTCCCCGAAGCAGCTCAATGTGGATAGGCAAGCCTGAGAATAAAACTTTTAAAGCGTCAGATCTACATTGCCTAGTTCAGCCATGGTTCTGTATTCTTTTATTTCAGTTCAGTAACACTGAAAGGTAATTGGGTTGCAGGAAATCTTATCGCATCTTTCTTAGTTTCCATTTGATGAGTAGTTCTTATCTTCCTTGCTTCAGCCGTGTTGCTACATGTAAAAGCAAGGATTGTGGCTAGCCGATCTTTTAGTAGTACCCAAAGTATTGTGTGAAGATTTATCTATCTGTCTGCGCTTCGATGCTCGCGTCGTCTCCGTGACTTAGCCTAGGCTAGACCAAGTGGCTCAAAGCCTCGTTCGTGAGCGTCTGGCACATTAAACTTTCTTTTGCTCTTGCTCATCATGTGTACGCTCGAATAAAGCAGACTACCTTCTCATTTTGCACGTTTTACGTCCTTTTGTTGCGAAACACTCAATGGCCCTTGCCAGACAGCACTGTGCTATGCGCATTTTTCGCAAATCGAAACATCAAAGTTGTGCGTCAAACAGTATGTGCGATCTAGCCGATTGCGTGAAACTCCGATTTCGCGATACCCATGCACGTAAGGCAAAAAGCTCATCGCGTGAACCGTGCAAAGAGGTGCGACTTATATCCCAACTTTTCCACGAAAATGGCTCAATATACGGAAGTCCGACTTGTAGTCCCGAAAATACGGTAGTTGGAATCAGCTGATTCCAATTAATATAACCAATTGAATTATTGCAACCCAACTGGAAGAACCAATTGTTTGACTCGGTGCCAATTAGATTTTATTGATTCCATTTGGCATAAACAATTGAAAATATAAACTCAATTGGAATCACAAATTGATGAAGTCAGTATCCACTGAATTCCACTGTTTCTAATTGGTACCAGTTGAAATTTAAATTGGACTCAATGGTGGTTTTTAACATGATGAATAGAAAATCCTGTTCCGGCACACACTGGTTTCTCAAAAGTCATAAAAATAAAAGTAAAAAAAAAAAAAAAAACTAGGAAAGAGAAAAATAATTCTTAGATAAAGAATGTGCAGCATGTTCTTGAATTGCAATGGCTGTTTTATCGGCCTCTCTGAATGTACATTTGGCTGAGTTGGTAGGACTTGATAGTGAAAAACAACTGGGACGAGGACACTGGACAAGCGCCGACTATACTCCGTTCACCCTTGAAGGGACACTGACAGGGTATTTATGCTCGTCAAGGTTTTTAGTTGTGCATGACATATGAGAGCCCAACTACCCAGAACACAATTTATGGCTCGAAATTCGTTTTCTTTCCACCCGAAAAACACCGATCGAGAACCGGTTGGTTTGAGTCGCACTCACTGTCTTCTCTGTGGTCACATGCCGTTTTCTATGGTTTAGACACAACCACCACAAATAATCAAAGTCGTGGGTCATCAAGGATACAAACTCAATGCCAGAAATGGACTTAAAATATGACAACTAGTTTTTGATGCTTCTAAAAAGCTGCAAAAACATTGAATAATAAGAAAAAAGTTGCACAGCCCTGTGGTTTTTGACATCCTTCTCCTCCTCTATATTTCCTCTTCCTCCTCATTCCAGCTTCGGTTTCAGTTTGGAGCAGTTATGTTTTTATTTTATTTTTTTTATTTTTATTAAAAATATATGTGTCACAGTAGTAAAATATTGATTGGGTAATCTTCTGACACCATAATGGATGGTTCGGCAAAAAATACAAAAAAATGCTTTTGGGGGGTGTCATGTCCCTTTAAGCTGAGACTGCAGCCAGTGCCACAAGCCCGAGAGCTCCAGGTCGGCGCTATAAAGCATTCTTCCACAGGACAAGCGCTCGCCCTAGAAGTGCACGTCTCAAAGCTAGGAGCGCAGGCTAGCTCATGCTTGTAGCTTTGGCTGCAGTCTCAGCTTAAAAATAGACTGAAAAGAAAAAAAAAGATCTTATTAGACAGTCCAGTTGGGACACGCATGTCAAAAAATAAATTTGATACGAAAAAAATATTCTTTTAGAGCGATATTGATGGCACGAGATTTATTTTAAATTCTGCGCGCAAAGTCCATGACGTCACAACATGGTCATACACTCTTTCCACCTCTAGAGATGGTCATACGCTCTCTCCACCTCAATGTGATGGCCAAGCCGATCCACCTTTCCTCCACTGACCTGAAATGTTGAGAGAGAAAACAAGTGGAAAGGGAGGTAACTATCGACGAAATCGCATCTCACTCCGTCAATAACTCAATATTGCTCTAAAAAATTTTTTTTCGCGTAATATTTATTTTTTGATATGCGTGTCCCAACCAGACTGTTTAAAAAAATATTTCTTTTCTTTTCAGTGTTTTTTTTTAAGCGTGATTGGAGTATAGTGTGAGCATGTAAAGAACATTATGTCTGTGCTAGAATAAATTTCTATTTAATAAACTTTTATAATCAGTAACTAGCTCACTCAGTGAACCATGGCCCTGTTGAAACAACAAGTGGCTAGAGCACGTGTCTCAGGCTGTGCGTGCTTGTCTCCTATTTTTTTTTTGCAGATGTGTCTGCCAGACTTAGCGACCACCGTGGTGCTTTTTCACAATGTTACATTCTATAGTGCATTCTGCAGGGAATAAACTTGGACCATTTTATACCCTTGTTATGCACATATTTTATTCGCAAGGTTGCTGACCAGCATGTGTCATGTGTAGGTCAAGGGATCACAGCCACAAATTCCCCCGAATGATTTCTGCTAAATGCATAATGAATGGGACAAGGGTAGGAGCATATTTACAGTTCTGTCTCATTTTAAAGGTGTAAAGTGGTTCCATTAGTGTTTCTCTCTTGTCTGTGCCATTGTGCAGCGGTGTGTTGTTGCATGAAAGTGACCTTGCTCCAGGCCACGACCAACCCGTACATGGCTGCCCTGACCAGCATGCCGACAGCGTCGTCCTTTGGGCCTTATTTGACGCCCAGTCCCTGCCTGCCCGGCATGATGACGGCGGACGCAGCACCACTCAGCGTGATGCCGGCGTCGCTTGTTTCTCCACAAAAGGTGGCGCGCACCGACAGACTCGAGGTGAGCACCTTTTATTGCTCGTAGAATGGCCACTTCATTTCTGTCGGCACCATTCCTTGTCTGGCGGGTTGCACCTGGTACCGTACGAAGTCTATTCAAGGTTATGTTTCACATAATTTGAAGCTATTGGGAACTGCAGAACTAATTTTCTGAAAACAGGCCTCTGCAATTGTGCCATGCTCCTAACAAAAGCAGGGTGCTTGGCAGTTTGGGGTAGCATTGTTACATCATATTTTGCCTGGGATTACAATAGCGCGGCAACAGAGCCAAAAATAAGTATTTCGGCACGGAATTCTACTTTTTGAGAAAGTCACAAATCCTCAGAAGCCGAGTCTTGTTGTCTGGTTAGTGTAAGCATTGCGTATTGTGAGCAAGTTTTGCAGACAAATCTATTCATAAGGGTGATCTGCTGTTCAGTGTTGTATCTGGCTTTTGGAAAGCCCGACTCCAGTCAACAATCAATCGGTTTTATTGGAAAGGAACCTGTGGATTAGGTGTTTGAGATGAGCTACTCTGTGCCTGTGCCTCGATGCAAGTAGTGTTTGCCTAATAGTTTTCTTATGCATTTTTGCAAGAACTTGCAACATGAAAATTAGGGCTCATTGCCTTTGGCATAATTTTAATGTTTGGTATACCATGCTGTTTTAACTTAAATATTGTTAAATCTTACATTTATTATATATCATTGTCAAACTCTGATCCAGGACAATTTGGTGATGCTTAATGATGAAGCTAGTCAATGAATAAAAGGATTGCAGCCTGCATTAAAAGCAGCGATTGCGCCTTAGTCATCTCCTTGAAAATTTCTCAAAAACACCCCGAAAAGAACTAGGTAGTACTATTGTTATGGCTCAAGGTTGAAGCAAAATATGGTGTGCTTGCCTCACTTTTAATAATTTCTTACATACAGTTGTACCTCTTTATAACGAACACTGATATAGTGAAATAACGGATATAGGGAACTAATAACGAAGTTTGGTTGGTCATGCTTCATTTGGACGCGAGTTCTAGTTATATAACGAAATCAAAACCGTGAGATCTGACGCGCTATCAGTTATAGCAAAGCAATTCCTGCTTTTCTCGTGTCACAAAATATTATCAAAGTTATCAAAAAGTAGAAAAATATCTTTAAAAAGTTATCCTAAGATAAAAAATTCAGAAAATTTAGATGGCCCTATGTGCAAAACTGCACGTTTTGGAAGTAGTGCTGACTGGTGGCTTTTGACAAGGGCATGTCTGAGCAGCACAGGAAGATCTCGCTGCTTTTGGACAACCGCTCCGCGCACAAGGTGGCCACTCCACTGAAGGCAGTCCGTTAGATGTTCCTGCTACCGAACACAAGTTGTGTCCTCCAGCCCCTGGATAAAGCGGTCATTCGGTGTGCTTTTATCGAAAGCATTTGGTGACTCAGCTCGTCTTTGACATTGACCAGCAGAGATCCACAGCCATCAACATGAAGACGTCACTGGAAATGTTGTCTGGGCCATGGAACGACGAGAGACGGTCGACAATAAGAACCTGTGGACGCAGGCTTCGTACCACCCGCCGATGAGGTTCAGCCCGAAGACCCTACAGAGCGACTCGACGAGGCAACCTGGCAGCTGCCGAACGTCTCATTTGAGGATTTCGTTTCTGCCGACGACAACTTGGTTGTGGCGCCCAAACTTACCGATCAAGAAATTGTGGATCGTGTCGTGTTGCCCGGCAATGACAGCAGCAGTGACAGCGAGGATGACGAAAGCAAAGACGACACTGAAGAGCCGCGGGCGAATAGCGCAGACACCGCAGACATGGTCCGGAAACTGCGCAATTATTCGGAGAAGCTCTCCATTCGGAGAAGCTCTCCACTGCCAAAACTGCTGATGTGGGGAAGGTGCTCTCGTGTATGGCCACTGTGAAGAACTTCTTTCTTCAGAACTCTGTGAAGAGGCACCAGCCCAAATTCACGTCTTTCTTCAAATAAATGGAATCATGGATCCAGCTAACGTCATTTCTCGTGTTGCAAATTGTTATCGTCAGGTTCCGATCTATTTTCTTAATGCTTGCTGCTCAGTGACAGCTAAGGATCTTGAGGTTCGCGATAGCGTGTTTTTATATTGTAGTTCTGTGCACGTTCTTGTGCAGGCTTGGTTGCAGGAGCGTTCGCGTTGATTTTTGTGTGTACTTTTATTACGAATATTGCACATAGCGAACAAATTTCTCCTTGCAATGCTAGTTCGTTATAACGAGGTTCGACTGTATTTATTTATTTTATTTATCCAGGTTAACCCGCTTTATTCAAGGGGTGCTATTGCTGGGGAATGATAGAAGTTTGTTGTATCAAATAAATTAATTATCAGTACAGCAAAACACTTTTGACTCTGGACAAGTGGTTGATAACAAAGCAGGATGTAGCTCATTTTGTGCACCTAAAATGTACCTTCTAGCATTCATAAGTTGTTCCATGCTCTCTCATAAAAAGAAAAAGCCTTGCAAGTGCTAACCTCTCTATTTCTGTTCTAGGTACATACTCTACTTGAAGTGATCATCATTTAAGTTGAGTTGCAAGGGACTTTGTGAGCAAATTTTTGAAGCTGTTAATAAGGAAGGCATACCCTTGTTGCGTGTTCTAGTGAAATGACTGCAGCGTAAAATCAAACAATTATAGGCAATTGCTCAAAAGTGCATCGTGATGCCATGGCCTGGATGTCTTGGGCGCTTGGTTGGCGTCTGGGACAGGGAGGAAGCTTGGTCTGTCATGCCCAGATGGGAATGGCTGCACACCGGTTGTGGAGCCGACAAGTCTCCGGAAAGCTTGATCATTCTTTTTGGGCACGTCATCTCCGGCTAGTGGTTCTAGAATAATCAGAATCACTATACGAAGTCACAAATAGGAGTTGTGGCCTAGTTTATAGTTGCGGGCTTAGAGCTAGCTTTCGTGAGGAAGTGCCATCAAAAACCATTTTTCTGACTCGACATTAGCACGAAGCTCAGAAAGACTTGAAGTGAAGACAAAAGGCAAGCCCTAAAGTAAAAGAACCTTGCAGATAATTTTGTGTGTTAAAAAAGAAAGCACAAGGTACCATTTTAGGGTTCTGCTTAGTTACGTGCAGCTGTAGACTGCGTGGGAAGTGTAATTTGAAATGACTTTCTGGCTTGAGCAGCCTTTGAGACGAAGGCAAGAGCGACGACGAGGCGCTCTGCCGAGCGTGAGAGTCTAGAAAGAGCCCCTTTCCCTCCTTTTCTCGCCCCCTCCTCGTGTCTCTGGCGCTTGAACATCATGCGCTTTCATGTTGCCCTTCTCTGGGGCGTCTTCGTGCCTTAGTCTGTCCTGTCCGCTGCTGTCGCAGGCCGTGTTGCCGACGGCTTCGCGCCGACGTAGACTGCACACACGCTCCTCCGCGTGCACACTCTGCGCTTGCCGCTGCGCGCGTGCGAGGCAAGCAAAAGCATGGCTTTGTCGCACACGCCTCGCTGCTGCCGCTGACTTGATCCCGCCGTTGCTTCACAGTTTGTCTCCAACAGAAAACCAAGAACACCACCCAGGTCGTCAACTGAAGTCTCATTACGGACGTTCCCTTCTCTGCGACGGCTCTTTTCTTAGCCTTCCGGACGAGCGAGTAGGATCACTTCGCCGACAGATGTCGCTGAACAGTTCAGACTGGCGTTCCATTGGCCTTGGTTGCCCTACGTTGGTTTTCCTCCTTCAGTGTGGGACTTCTGCATTGGCTGCTCACCTGGGAACAGTACTGCAGTTCTCGTATTGCTCTATGGCATGGTCCAATCGCACTCTTGACACGTCGTCCCTCTGAAGCGAGAGCCCCGCTCTCTTTGCCCGGGAACAAGAATGAGCAGAGCAGCAGGAAGAAGCTGCCTCGTATGTGCAGATTGAGCTGGGGAGGCATCGGACAGGGTGGGGGGCGGGGCTTGGAGGCGGAGGGGGCGGCACCTCCAGGGGACCAACGTCTCTCTCCTCGGGATCGGGGTCCCAGGTGTGCCGGGAGTTCCAGCGGGGCACATGCAAGCGCCCTGAGACGGAGTGCCGCTTTGGCCACCCTCCTGAGCACGTGGCGGTGGACAGTGGTGACGGCGCCGTCACCGTGTGCATGGACTTCGTCAAGGGCCGCTGCTCGCGGGACCAGTGCCGCTACTTCCACCCTCCCCCGCACCTTCAGGCGCAGCTCAAGGCCACGCAGAGCCGGGCAGGCGCCGCCGCTGCAGCTGCCGCTATGGTAGGCACCACGCCTCCTCTCTCTCTCTCTCTCCCACACTCTCCCCTTTGGCGTTGTCGACCGTCGCTCGAGGGACGTGCAGGAAACTCTTTCTGGGCCTATTGCAAACCCCCACACAGTCTAATCGACAGTTCACTTCTGGCTGGAACGCTCTATCTTCAGAGAGTACATCCTAATATGGAACCGGACTTTTTGATCGTTGACTCGTTTTGCAGATGGGCAGTAGATGCTACTCAGTAAGAGGAAATGCAGCTTGGCAACGAGTTCTTACTAATTATGTTGCAGGTTTCATTTAGAGTCTGTCAAAGTTCCATGCATGGGTAAGAAAAAAAGAAAAGAAAATTGCTTGTAGGATTTAACTTGACGCTATAGTGAGAAGGAAGAAAATAAGGGACGACCGCGAAAGAAGGTCATAATACACCCAAACAACTTACGCAAGACGCATGTGCTGAATTTGGGGACTGATTGGGCTTACCATTAGTGTTTCCTGCACACTCTCTTCGTGGGACTTGTCGACAATGCTGTAGCTGTACCTTCTCCCTCCCCACCCATTTCCCCTTCTTTTCCACGGGGCTGGCATCGCGTCAGGTTGCTTCTGGTCTCTGCTCGTCACACCAAGACCTTTTTTTGTCTCGCTGCCCCCTTTGCGGCCCTCTAGCTTGCTTCTCATCTGCTTGCGCGAAAGGTGTTAGCCATTGGTGTCAGAGACACCCTTTCTGATATGGCTGTCGGAGCTCCCTGCCAGTTATCTGTTTGGGGGGTGCCCTCACAGTGGTTATAGGGGCTGGCACGTGCGGAAGATGGGAGGAAAAGGGAGAAAGAATCTTGTTACGCTGAAGGCACGCACTCTTCGCTGCCGGCTTACTTTTCCAGAGGTGGTTTGAGACTTGTTGCAACTTCCAGAGGTGGTTTGACCAGAGGTCAAACCACCTCTGGAAGTTGCAACAAGTCTTGGCGGAGAGCCCAGTGTCAGTTACCTGGTTCGTACTAGTTGAGCAAGGACAATTAGGAAATAAAGCTCCTGCATCCTAGATTGTTGACTTACTGTTGTCTCACTCTGTGAACCAATTGATTTTGCCGTATTACACCTTTTAACTTGAACCTGCGCATCCTCTGTAGCACCCAGCTCCAGAAGCAAGCAGTCGTAAAAGGTTATCCCCTGTGCTGAGTGCACATTTTTGGATAAAAGTTGATGAGAGGTGTTAAGTGTGGACAAAGTGTCTCCTCTCAAAAGTAATTTGCCCTAAACAAGAAAAAGGAGGAAGCAGAGACTGGGGCAATCAAGATGCCAAGGAAGGTTTTGTGGGTGGGTTCTCTTTGGGGCTTTTTTCCCTTCACTCTATCCCATTTTGTTGACAGACGCTTCTTGTTTCTGCTTTCTGCCTGCTGTGCAATGTCATTCTACTTGCAGCCTCTTTTTGTAGCGCTGCAGTCATGCATCTTTTAAAGCACTGACACCGTAGGGGCACCGTGTAGAGCAGGCTTTGATTTGATGATGTGTGCCATTTATTTATTTATTAGTGCATCATGCAGACATAAGTATGTCTGCAGGATGCACTTTAATGCAGCAATGCTGTCAAGTGGTCTTCTACCGTTCACTGCTTCTGTACCCTGTTGAAGGTTAAGGAAAGGAGTGGGTGCGTTAAGTCCGTGCTCCGTAGCGCAAGCGTTCGACACTTCATTCACTAAACAGACTGGAGCGCTGCAGAGACTGACACTCCAGTGCGCTCTTCATGCACCGAGTATTTCTAGGAGCGCTAGTGACTTCTTCGTGCTTCGTAACATCATGTCCACAAACAAGATGACTGCGCTGGCGGAAATGTCGAGACGAAGGGCACAGTAGACCGCTGCCCCTTTTCAGTTGAATAATGCTTAATCTAGAAGGTAAAAACGATTTGATTTGAAAGCCAAGGCAGCAATTAGCATTCCGGAAAACGTTTGTTCGTGCATCTCACCTGAAAACGAATTGAAAACGGTAGTGTGCCGGCATCGGCGTGGCACATCGTGCTGCAAGACAGAACCACGGTACATCTGGCAAGTTTCATAGTTTCCTGCGTCGACAAGCGAGTTCAAGAATGTTGTCTTTCATTTCAATCTGAACAGCATGCACAGTTAATAAATAGATTGATCGAGGTAACTTTCCTCATATACACTCGAAGCGAGTCTTCTAATCTTTTTAGGAACATTAAAGCTTTGTAGAACTTCCTAACGTCACCGTCTTTTTTACTTTACACTCTGCCTCTCCGCAGAGGCCTTAATTAATTTATCTCGGAAATAATTTTGGCTTCTGCCGTCCATGAGATGCTGGTCCTAACACTGCAATGGAAGTTGCTCATGCGGCTAGTTGATATTTTCGGTGTGTCATGCTCCCATACCCTACGCTCCGTTTAGTTGCTGCGCTCAGAGTAGGAGCAAAGGAGCACGGACTTAACGCACCCAGTACAATCTCTCCTTGCAAAGCCCTCTGCTCTTTCCACCTTAGCAGGGCGATTGCTGGAGAAGAGGCATCCAGCATTTGGCTCGGCTAAAGCAGAAAGAGGGCTTTTGTGGAAGAGCCTGTACTGCATTTCTTGATCTGTAACAGAGGAAATGGGCTACCGTTAAAAGCCTACTGGAACTGGGGATTGAGTATTGTGCGTGCATGTCAATACATGCGCATGATTCAGAAATGGTGTGGAATCTTGTGCAGTGCAGTGGAAAAAACAGAGATTAATTTGCGCCAAGAAGAATGGCTTTAACATTCTTTGACGAAGCTAGATTGCCAGACACGATTCATTTACTTTTTTACATTGCCTTCTGGCATTTTGGAAAGAATCGACGCTCGCTCGACTTTACTCATCACGATGAAGGCGGCATAAACTTGGCAAGCATGTTTGGTGCTTCGCGACGCATCTGGGCTTTTGTACTTTGTCTCGTGTCGCAAAGGCTGGCTGCTTGTTGGCGTGCCTTTGCTTCACGCCGGCTTGCGTGGGAACACAACTGCGACGCTTTCTAGGGCCGGCTGCTGGGAGCTTCACCGGAAAACGTAGTCCGGGGAGCATTTCGCTGCCGTCTCCTTTAGTGCCTGTCGTCTCTGCATGTCGCGGGGGCAGTGTGTGCCTTCTTTGTTTTGCCCCCTGAGTGGCCAGACGGCCTCCGAGATCTCGTTGATTGTGTGCGCTGTGCTAGCTGCGTGTCCCAGGACGCACTAAGTGAGCGAATGCTCCTGCTGTTTGTCACACCAGGCGACAGAGGGAGGAAGTGCTGATGTCGGATTACAAATGTACACTCAGGTATTTGGGCTTTTTATTTACTATCCCCGGCTTTTTCGGTGCATGCTTTTGCCGCCTCTCTGGTGCTCCACTGGGTGTCCTTTCCCACTCTCATCCTTGCTTCTGTGCCTCGTTAGGCTGCTTCCTTTGCACAAGGTTGCGGGCCCACAACCAGAGACTGGTCCAATGGGCTCAGGACCGATTAAGTAGTGGACAAACTCAGTCTGTCAGCATACTACCAGTTCTAGTACCCTTAGGAGTATCTATTCTTGGGGGAACATATCACGTGACAGGGAAGTAAGTACAGTGGTAATGATTTGTGGATCAGGGCACTTAACAGATTGGCTGACTGACAAATATAGTATAAATATTTATGTTTCCCGCTACGCATTCTAATAAATGCTTTCTTTTTATTATTCAGTCGCACGCATGACCTTTCCATTCACTACCAGCTTTCTCTGTGTGTGTGCTTGTGCACTGTTGTGTTTGCTGTAGAATCTTATGTGAGTGAGCTGTTTGCTCAAGAAATCTGTCTCAGGTTCGCTTTTGGCTCCTTATGAAAAAGAGGGAGCAAATTTTGAGGACAGGCAGCTTAGTGTGACTGCTTCACCTAGAGCAGTGCCACTTGGGTGGTGTTTCTCGCGAGATCAGCAAAGGTGCATAGCCCTTCCCGTCTGTTCTGACGCCTACTAGAGCCGTTTTTTTCTCGGCACGTCTGTAAAGACGCAAGCTGGAGATGCGCTTGCTTCTTCATAATGCAAGGCCCTACCTAAGAGTGCTAATGCGGCACGCTTGGAACCTAGCGAAGCGCTGTGCATTTGGGCAACTTTTTCAAGGTTTGTGTAGGCTTGCACATGTCGAACTTCACCGAGTGTTTGAGTAGGCATTTTTGTGTAGAGGAGACTGGTTGTGTTAGCAGACGCTTTTTATTGTGTTTTTCTTAACCGTTTTCGGTGATGGCATTGCTGTTCTCCAGAGTACCTAAAGCCTCTCTATCTAATCTGGAGCTTCTTTTTTTGTGTTGTTGGTAATTTCATATTTTTGCAGCTTTTCAAGTCATGACATAAGATTGCCATTCTGCTCAAAGCTTTTTTTTTTTTTTTTTTTTTTCGTAGCCACTTTTTACACGAGGAGTTTGTTTTACTTATGTTTTGCGTTAGCTTTCTAAAGAATGTAAAATAGAAAAGATGAAGGTGGACCTGGACACCTGTGTGCAGCCCAGTGTGTGTGATGCGCTTTGCAAGGCCTTCTCCCCTGCACCCGCACGAGTCCCGAGATTTAATCCTCACACGCTGCTCAGTCTGCGGCTGGCAGGGCAAGGAGGAGGATGCGGAAAAAGCTCTAAGCCTAGGTCACAAACGAGAGCTCGATTGAGAAGCTCTCGCCAAACAGTCGGGGTGCCTGAACAGTGTCTGTCCACACTGCACCTGAAACGGGTGTGGTTTTCATGCACGCTGCAATAAGCTGCTGCCAGATAATGGGTCTTTCCTGGCTGCTTTTAAAGTCGTCCAAACGCGTGTCGAGCAAGTAAAGTCCAGTGGCCATGTTTACCAGCAGTTTGCAGGGACTGATGGGGATGCTAAAGATGCCAATCTTGGATGCTCAAAATCCGCAGCTTTCCTCCACGGTGTGCGAAGGAGTGACAGCGGCAGCTCAGCGAGGGCAGGCATTTGTGCTCGGCTTCGGCGAGCCTTCTACGCCTTCTCATTGGGAGTTGTCCAAATATACATGCACATGCTTGCACCGAAGTCCAGAGGAGAACTGAAGCGACGTGACCTTTATTGACATCCCGAGGCAGGCGCTGCCGGTGACGATTATTTATGTCTCTTCCCTTTAAATGGGCATCTGCACGTGGAGCAGGCACCAAGCCGAGCGCCAGCTCACGGACTCCTCGGCCAAGAGGTTTCTGCTTAGCACAACGCCGACGTTGTGAACGCTGCTGGGAAGTCCCGATAACAGCACTGTAAAAGCGTCTATGCCACTGAAGAAATCTTGAGCGCACAAATGCAGTTCTCCAACCACTGTAGTTAGCGTATTGGGGTCGACACTCGCTGCAGAGGGGTAATCAGGTCAGTGCAATATGACGGCCAACCTGGGACCTTTTATTGTGCACACCATGCAATAAGGACTAAGGGTCAGTTCATTGAGAGTGGCACGTCCAGTGATTAATCGGGCCAATGCCGTTGCTGCATTGCCTCGTCTATGACTGTTGGCCCTCGTCTATGACTGTTGCATTGGCCTTGTCTCGCGCGGTAGCTCGGCAGATTGGGACGCATTAGCCTGGCAGGCAACCCGACTGACTCTGTCCTGGTGTAGGAGGATGGGATTTTGTGTGAAGGTTAGATAGATTACGAATTAATACATTGCGCTAGGCCAAAGTTGGGCTGACTCAAGTTCAGCTTTGTTTGACACACCGGTGAATATGAAAGAGGCTCTTTAAGGATGTTGTTTCTCTTTTTCTACACCTTTCTAAGAAACACTTGGCCCCAGGGACCAGAGAACTGTTTTCGAGCCCACTCACTGGGTTTCAGGCTATTCTGTTACCGGCATCCCTGCTATCCCTAACCGAGTGGACCGTTGATTTCGATAATTGCAGCCTGCGTAGGCACAATTTCACACTGCTGGCGGCTAAATTCTCGCCTTATCCCATTTTGTGTTTTTGTGGTGTATGTCTTTTTCGGAGGAAATTGAAAAAGCTCTGGATCAGATCTGAAACTAAAGAAAAAACAAAGCTATTTTTGGTTGAGTGTATGCACGACAGAACGAATGCGACTGAAATGTTTGTTTTTATTGTACGATGAGTTTTTATGGCGCCGCCCTCTCAGCCGGGTCGATCGACGAATCGCTTAGCCGTCGAAAGTAATTTACAGCAGAAGATAGTTGAAGGGCATGCATATCCCCCACGTACAAAGAACATGATTACCGAACTTACAGGACTTGAACATGAAAATCTAGCGAGTGGCAACATTCAAACATTAAATTCTATGTACCTTATGGTGCAGCGTTATCCGGAAAGGTTTATTTGAGAAAGGTTGATAATAGCACACCACCTCCTGTCCGCAGTGTCGACGGCAGTCGCTTCTCGACAATCGGACAGAGTCAAAGAGGACCTCGTTTTGGGGCACGTTTTGGTCAGAGTTTCCTTTTTTCACAGCATCGGTGCAGAGGAACGAACGCAATTGATCCATTTCCCACCCCAACCCGCTATATTTTGACGAAAACTGTGAATCCGGAGATTATCCCTAAAAGTGGGGAGAACAGTTATTATTGCGAGACAACAAAATGTTGCTCTAAAGTCAAAAATAAAACAGCCCAGTAGGGAGAGGAAGGGAGCAAATCGAAACCGGCACAAATGTTAAGACCTTTTCTTGTAATGCTGGACACAGAGAATTTCACCTCTATCCATTGTGTCAGAGACACAATTCTCAAAGAGATCTAAGTAATTCTGGGGCAATATTTTGTATTCATTATTTTTTATTTTTTTATGTACAACAGAACAAAAGTATCTGGTGGCAAAATTTTGGCTGGGTGAAATTCGGCTCCAAGCAAAAGTTTATCAAAATTTCTTCTACGGTTATGCACATGAAAGTGCCTGAGGTCCGTACAAGTGCAGAAGACTACTATTACTAGATCAAAAAATGCGAGAAGCATATCTCTTAGGAAATACTTTAGCTTTGAAATAAGATAGCATTGTGATTAGGCACAACTGGGGAAACAAAATTACTTCGACCCTGGTTGCTCCTAGACGGGCGGCATTTTTTAACACACCTTATGGAACCTGGCGATGATTGAAAGTGAAGTGTGACCCATCACTAGTTAAAAAAGACTCGAGGTGGCTGGGGGACGCTTGTGCCAGGGAAATTGGTCATCCAGGTAACGCAAAAGGTCCCTCAAAGTGACGATATTGCCCGAGTTGACACACGGCAGTTTATTTGACTCCAATTGCATGTTTCTGTGAAAGGCTTTGACCTGGAGGACTGCCGTGGCTTGTTCCTTTTCTCCTGCTGCGCGTGCCAGTCTGTCTCCTTTTCCTTCACCCACCTCATTCCTGTCCTGCCTCTACGACCGAAAAGGCACCCTACCACATGCACTTGGGTGTCACTTGGCTCACTTGTCACTTAGACAATGAAGGTTATTTTCTAGATATCTCAAAATTAAAAAAAATACGAGGAAGAGATATCTAGGGGATTGGTAAACGTCTCAAAAGCACCGGTCATTCCGGTCCAGTATTGTGTCCCCAGGAACAGTCTGGATCCAGTTTTTGTTTTAGTCTGAAAAAGTTACCGCTCTCACAATGGCGTTGCAGTGCCGAGAGGGCAGCGCCGTCTCAGGGCTGCGGGACAAAAGAGGGGCGGGGGAGACGCCTGGCCATGGCATCACTTGGCCAGAGTGAGGTTGCCCCTCCTCCTCCTTGGCCCAGCTGTGCCGCATTGTTCCCCGCGGGCGTGCACGGCAGGTGCTCTCGAGGGGGAAGGAAGGTGTCGCTAGTCTGAGCCATGTTGCTGTTTCTCGTTGTGGTACTTGCATGTTGTTCTCACGCCGTATGCCTCCCTTTTTGCCAGTCAGTGTTGTAAGAGCGCGACGAGTGACAAAGCATTTGTGACCTCTTGCTGTGGCCCGGGGAGGGAGGGCCCTCCCCCGCCGTGCAGAGGGAGACTCTAGACGCAAGGCCCCGTGTTTTGGCCGACCTGTAATCATTGCTCTCTTTGTTTCTTTTTTTTCTCCTTCTTCGTTTTTTGGTTCCCCCTTTCGACGCATTGCTGCTTGCTGCCATGCGCTGTGCCTACCCGCCATCCAAAACAAAACCGTCTGCCTCTGCATACTAATTTAGCCGGGCCTGGGAGATCCTTCCGCGAGCAAGAAGCGCCCCCGAGAGTCTGCAGATGAAGTTGTCCTGGTACACAGTCCCTTAGAGCTTTTGCATGTGTTTCTGTTTTTGACCTTCCGTGGAACTCATTGTGCGTGTTTGAACCCTGGAGGGGAGGGGGGTCGCAGGGCCCCCCTCCCGTCTCTGGAGCGGGCAGGGCGTGCAGCCTCACGATGCCACCAGCTGGCCTTTTAGTTTGTCACTCTCTCTTTCTTCCTCCTCCCTCTCGCTGGCAGTGGTGCACGGGCCGGTTACCCTTTCGTGCGTTGGTGCGGGCCGGGTGGTGACACTTGCAACGCCTCGCTCGGTCCTGGGAAGACGCTCTCGGAGTCTTTCCCATGGCCGCCAGACGCGGCAGGGCTTTGCAAGTTGCCCCCACGCACATTGTTGTCTGGCTGCTGTACAGAATGTTGTTCGACTCACGATTAATTGCGACCTCACTCGCCTTCTTTCTCTGTTTACCGCATTTGCTTGGAACACGGCTGCCTTTGCCCCTTGGTCTCTCAAGCTCGAACCCCTAGCTGTCAGCTCCGAAAGCGTAATGTATAATGGGAAAAAAAGCTCGGACTACACCCGTGCTTTACCTATGAGCAGATGCGCCTCTGTAATGCAGGCCTTGAGCCGGGAGGGGTGGTCGGATAAAGCGGGGCCCACAGGGTGGCCAGCATTGTGGCAAGTCTGGGCCTAGGCACGGGGGCGGGCGCCCTAGAGAAGTTTGAGTGAAGGACCAAAGGGCGGCGTTTTGTTTTCTCACACTTGGTCTGTGTGTGTCGCATGAGGTTTTTGCTTTCTTGGTTTTTTGAGCTGCCTCCCTCTTTACCCCTTTCCTCTCTGGCTGAACTCGAAACGTGCTCTGCTCTCTTCCGGTGCACACTAACATCACACTTTAGACACACATTTCACACCGCAGTGCCCCCCGCATTTGGTCATTTCGGCAGGGAAGAATAGAACAAGAAGAGGACGGTCTCGGTCGGCTGCATTTTTCTCTGCTTGGTTGCACCTGGCCCGCCCGCTGTCCTTTGCACTTCTTAGTTGGTTCGAGGCTCGTATTTGCAGCTTGGCTTTCTTTCTTTGTCGCGTTTGGTTTTCTACCATTTTCATTTGTACGCCTAAGGTTTACGGTCTTCCGTTTCTTCCAATTAACAACTCATTCTTTTTGTACTCAAAATGGGCGGAATAAGTTTTAGTCAACTTCGTGTTCCGCAGAAATCCAGAGTTGATGGCAGTCTCGCGGTCTAGGTCATGTCAAAGCAAAGCGGGAGAGAAGGAAGCCCGGGACCCCCACCCCTAGACGAACCCTTTGCCTAAATGTGACCGCTGTGTGCCACAGCCGTAGCAACCACATTTGTTTTGGAATTGGTGAAAACGACGCCGTGTCTCCTCTCGTCGAAACTCGGTTGTTGCTGTTGTTGTTGTTAGGACAGGCTACTTTCGTGCGATCCACACAATCGCAACCGAAGCCCATTCACACAGTTGCGTTTGAGTATGCAGCATGGAGATTGGTTGGGCACTTGCCATCCGTGCTGCATATGCCAGGTGCCAAGCTAGCCGTTGGATGGATTGCCACACCGGGGACATACTCGGGGCGTCTCAGTAACTCGCGGTCGTGCATCGGCGGTCAAATGCAACTGTGTGGTGAGCCTTGGAGCGCCGTCGCTGCGTGCGACACGCCGACTTGTGGCGGCTGCTGTGGTCTAGGCTGTCTTGTCCCTGCGGTGAGAGGGGAGGGCCCCTCCGTCCAAGCTCATCCCCCAACACACCCGAGAGGCCAGCGGTGACACTGACCCTTGATTTTTCTGTTCCCCTTCCGCACCTCTTCCTCCCTGATCTCCCTGTCGAAAACACGAGCAGCCCGACGAAGAGAGTGTGCAGAGGGGCGGAGGAGCAGCGGCGCTTTGGCCCTGCTGCTTCCTTTGCGAACCAGTAGGTGGCACCACTGTTAGTAGAGGGCGCTAGTGGGCGGTGAGACTGCACGCCATGCCGTTCGCCGTGCTCTGTCCACGTCGACCTCCTCTGGTCGCACGGGGAAGCGTGTGGGCGGCACGGGGGCGAGGGCCTTCCGGGGAGACCTTGCCGCCCGCGCGTTTCGTCGTGTGCCCCGCTCGAAGGCTGCCCTTTGGTAAGCGGAGGGCTGTCCGGTGGCTCCTTGACGCCGGGCAGCTCGCTTCCCTCCAGGGGCCTCCTTCTGATTCCCCAGGTTTCACCGTTGAAATGTTTGCCTTTTTTCTTTCTTAGTCCGCATTACGTGCTTCGGGACTCTTTTTATTGGCGTCGTTAATGCCGAGGTGGATGTCCTGGCATTCGAACGAGTCTCTGCAGGCTGTAAAGAAAACGGAGAGTGATGGTGAAATCAAGCTGAGTTTGGTTTACTCCGGAAGAAGAATGGGCAGAAAATCCCTCCCCTTAATTTTGCAAACTGGCTGACATTTGTGTAGGGTTCGACTACCACTGCAACTGCCTGCCCACGGAGTGGTTCATCTGCCTGTTTCACATGCCTTGCATACATCTCTCAGTGTGAAGAGTGAGCCCCGGTGTGCGAAGGGTCACCTCTTCAGTTCCGTAAAGGGCACGCCCTCCCCAGGACGAGAGCCTTGGCACAGAGATTGGCTTCCTGGGTAAACTCTGCCACACATGGAGATGCATCGGTCTTTCCATGCTGCGAGTACAGTCATCTCGTGCCCCACCACTTGGCAGTGATCCACTGACAAGGTTACAGAAACTTGAGGCAGTTAAAGGACCACTAAAAAGAAAAAAAAAATGTTTTAAACAATCTAATCAAGATACGTGCATTAAAAAAATATTTACGCGAGAAAAACGTTTTTTAGAATGATATTGACGGCGCAAGGCGCAATTTAGTTGGTAGTCACTTCCTTTCCACTTGTTTTCTCTCTCAGCATTTCGGGTGCGTGAAGGAGAGAAACTGGCCATCATGTTGAAGTGGAGAGAGTGTATGACCATCTTATTGTTGAGGTGGAAAGAGTGTATGACCATTCCATGACGTCATGGACTTTGCGCGCTTAATTTAGACGCAACTAAAATAAATCTCGCGTCGTCAATAATGTTCTAAAAAAATTTTTTTTTTTTTTGATAAAATTTATTTTTTGACATGCGTGTCCCACTTACACGAATGAAAAAAAAATGTTTGTTCTTTTCAGTGGCCCTTAAAGGTTCTTGCTCTGATTTTGTTCATTGTGGCAGTTGGAAGGTCGCAGAGATGCCAAGTTACGCATCCTCCCGCCTCCAGGAGTTGCGAGGCAGTGCGAGTGTCCACGCTGCGTGTGGCAGCTCCTTTGAGGTCGAATGACTGTACTCGCTGCTCCAGCTTTTTCCCCTCATCAGGCCATCAGTCGTCCTCCTTGTCTAACACGCTCGTGGAAAGGCACAGGCTGTGCTTCTCAATGTTTCCTGCACGGCGCTGGCCCCCTTTACGTTTTCTTTTTTTTTTTCTTTGGTTCAGTTCAGTGCTCTTTTTTCCCTCTTTTTCTCGCCATCTTAAAGGCATCCACTTTTATTTCTTCATTGCAACAGCACGCACCTCCTTTGCATTTACCCCTGGTTTGTGTGAATGTGCGGATCTGCCTGTCCCACGCTGTAGCTCTTTCTTCTTTTTTTTTTTGGCTTGGAGTGTGCTGTTTGCACCTAAACACCACCACTAAACACCATTTGCACCTAAACACCACTTTAAAAAAAAAAATTTTTTTTTCACTTTTCACTTCTTTTTTTTTTTGAGAAGGAAAAGAGAGTGAAGCAAAAGGGTACCTTCTCCTCCTTTCCTCCATTGGCAGTTGGTGTAACTGGATACCAAATTCAGAGGAAAAGAAATTTCTTATACTGGTACCGTCCCGAGTAAAGAAAGATGGCAAGTGTCTCGGAAGAGAAAAAAAAAAACAGGAAGCTGCAGTTCAGGGACCCAGTACTGGAGTTCCAAATACCTACTGTTTGGTGGAATATGGTACCTTGAAGGTGAAGAGCCCAGCTGCACCTTCTTTCCTAATGACATCGTTAGAATGCTTTATTAAAATTTGGGTGACATCGTTGCAGTCACTGTTTCTGTTGTGTATTTTTAATGCTTATGAATGTGTGAAAGGTCTTCAATTCATCACTTAGGTTTACTCGTAGATGACCTACTGACTTGGTCCTCCAGCTTTTCTCTGCATCAAGCATAGCTACGCAAGATTGGCAACTTTTTCTGCTCGGCAGTATCAGTATAAGATTTTTTTACCATTTGATCTGTCTATCAGAGAACTTGTCCCCCTCATTTTATTCCATAAAGTTTTCCTCTCACTGAGACAATATAAAACTCTTACTTGCGCAGGCAAGTCAAACGGATTGAAAACGAGAGAAAAGCCATTGCAGTTGTCATTTTTAGCTTTATCTCGCTCTTCCACTTATTGTAGCCTCTTTTTGTTTGCCCTCATCTGTTGTGGTTTCATCATTCATAATTGTCAGCCATTTTTCAGAAGGGAGTGGACTTAAAAATTTTCTCAATGTCCCAGTTTATATATCGACCGATTGCCTTATTTTCTTTACACGAAGTAAGACAAGAAAAAAAAAAGGCTGCATGCTTGTGAATTGCCCTCAGATCAGGATCTGATGTGGTTGTACTGAAAAGGCATTATTGCATTGAAAAAAAGAATATACATGAAGAGAGTTACTCCGTTTCCTCTTACGATAGACGAATGCAAAGAGCCATTCGAGGCAATCGAGTGACTTTGTTCCCTACACATCACTCTTCCCCAAGGTCAGGCAACACTGCATTGGATAGACTCTTCCGTGGTCCATCGCAAGCTGAAACGGAGTATACTAGTGCAGTTTCATTGCAGTGGACCATCAGAAAGGCCATTTCCACGCTCTTTGTCGTTGACATTGTTGTGCCTTTTCTTTACCAATAGACAAAAAACTAATGTTGTTTTAATTGGGTTTCGTGAATACCCAGTGAGGGTTGGCGACGATGCTTGCCACTGTTTCTCCAAAGACTTTCTGGTGTTCCATGTGTCTCTTTGGCAGTGTCCCAGCGCACGTGGCTAACCAAATTTGGGAACGGCATATGATGCCTTTTCTTACAATGCCATCCCTTAACTTAAGACATTTGAGTGCTCAAGTTTGCTCATAGGTTTCGGGGTGCATTGAGCACAACAGAGAACTCCCAGAGTGCTTGAAGTCAAGTACATTAAGGGTTCTCTCACGAGCTCGTGCTAGACCAGAGAGTGTAAGCTTTGTCATAAAAAGATGTCGAAAGGTGATGCAGTATTTGGTTTGCCACAGTGGACGCAGGATCTGCCAAGGCAATTTTATATTTCGTTTCATCCGAGCCTGGTATGTGCAGTGTCAAGTCTATGGGTTCAAGCTCATCGTTTTAGAACGCAGATTGGTTGCACATTCCTGGCATAGCTCGTGCAACACTGTCATCTGCAAAAGCTTGAGCTCGTGCTTGTAGTCTTTGCTGCTCTACTATGTTAAGGTGAAGCGGAATATTGTCTCAGGATAGCTTCGTTTGAAGATATACACTAATTTTGCATGTAACGTAAGTCAGAATTGAGAGCGCCTTTTTGTAATTTTTACGAGCAGAAACGTAGCTGCCTACTTTCGCAAGCACGGTTGAATTTGGTCGTAAGAGGTGGCAGCAGAAAGTGAAATGCTTACAGTTATCTCGTTCATTTGCTTTGCAAAGCAACGGCGGCAGCTATGAAACTGCATGGAGCAAAGCCAAAACTTGCAAGAAAGCGGCAGATTTGTCCCTGTTAAACGCAGTTACACGGTCGTGCCTTGAATGCATCATTTGCTTTGCGAACATCACTTTGTCGCTAATGCAGTTTATTTTTTAAGGGGTCATCTGGTAGGGAACGTTGGCATCGCATTCGTCGCTTGGGGAGCTTCCCTCTCTTGCACCAGAGTCGGACCGTGCTTGCATCGTCCCCTGCCTGCGTGCACGTGCGGGGGCAGGGGAGGACGGCTGGGGACACTTGCGCGGCTGTGCACCTGACCTGGCCTTGCCCCGCCCCCGTCTCTTGTGCTGCACACAGGCATTCCCTGGTATTGTACCTTACACAAAACGTCCCGCCCTCGATAAGAGCGGCGTTCCCGTGTACCAGCCCAGTGCCACGTACCAGCAAGCCCTGTTACAGATGCAACAGCCCTTCGTGCCTGTCTCGTGTAAGTAGGCTCGCACTTTTCTGGCACGGCAGACGAAACCTGCCTTCTCCCGAATGCCTTTTTCACTTTTTGTACTTTTTGTTGCTTTTGTCTTTACCTCACCTTGGACCTTCAGTTCCTCTGACCCATCTGGGTAGTGCCTGGCCCATCTGGGCTCTTTGTGGCCTAAATGGACCAGAGGACTAGGGTGGGAGCATCAACGGAGAGTCACGGTGTTAGGCCTTTTTTTTTCTTTCTTACGCTCCTTGGTTCATTTTGTGCCTTAAACTGTTTAGGGTTCGGTGCTGGACCAAGTAAATTATCAGTTATTTCGTGTTGATATAAAAATCTGGGGTTCTGTGTGACTAAAAATTCTACCAATGCTATGTGCGTAACTCGGCCCATGCCAGAGCTCGTTCAATTGCTCGACAGTGTGTAAGGCTTTGGGGACCACCTCAGACGTGTTTTTCTGCACTTGCAGAGTTACTTATGGATCATTCCATCTCAAACGTCCCAGACGTTGCGCTCAGCCATTTGCAATGTTTAAAAGGAAATTCGTGGCTTTTTACTTCAAGGTTCTTTTCCTAGAATATTTTCGCCGAAAAAGTTTTTTCTTTTTTTATGGCATGATTGTGGTTTGAATTTTTAAAATGGGTGTGAAACTAGGCATCAATTTATAATTCAGTAAAAATCAGATTTTCTGTGAAACGTTGCACAATATTTTTTATGAAATTCAAACGGCTTTTAGCTTGTTATGTTCTGATGATATAGTGCAGTTTTTATTAAAATAGTTAATAAAACATTAAAAAAAACATTAGTAAAAATAGCACTTTTCTCAATTTTTTAAATTTTATTATTGCTTTGCGCCTGGCAATTCAAGCGGTTTTTGTTGGAAGCCCTGTAGTTGTATTGCGTATGAAAAATTTTTGAAGCTGTACAACAAAATACTTCAATGTCTGAAAAAATTCTAAAGTTGTAAAAAAGGCAGTTTTGCTGCCTAAACAGCTGTCTATTTTACCCTGAGGTGGCCCAAGTAAAAATATAAAACATAATGGCTTTATAAGAAGTTTATTGTGTTTCAGTTTTGAAAGTTTAATCAAAACGATTTTTGCCTATATCGAGAAAAAAAACATTGAAGTGGAGCTCTCGCGTCGGAACCCAGACTGGTTTCTTAACTCCTCTTCACCGCACAGCACGCCACTGTTGACATTGTAGCCGGACGAAACGCACACTTGTTAGTCTTGAGTGGAGTGTCTACCGCAGGTAGACGCAGAAAAGTTGTGTTGTCATATAGATATTCGTGGGAAAAGGCTTGCTTCTGCTTCCGTGGCTTTCCAGTCTCTGCAACTGCAACTGTCGTCTGCGGCGGAGTCCTCTCGTGATCTAGCACGGCTCGTCGTACCTGCTGTTTTCTACCGCTGCGGGGCATCATATCCACCAGCAGATCGTTGTTTCACACCACAATTTGCCCCTCTTGTTAGCGTCAGTACACACATAGGCAGCAGTGTAAAAGCCCCATGAGTAGGCGAAGAATACACAAAACACATTGGGAGTGATCGCTCTCGCACAGTCGTAGGCAAAAACACTGCGAACTTCGGTGGCAACTTTTGCGCAAACGATGAAGAGTGAAAACAGAACGAGCGGGTTGGTAGGGATAATTAAACTTGAGGAAGAAAACCAGAAGGGACGAACAAACACAAACTTAAAAGTTTGTGTTTGTCCGTCTCTTCTCGTTTTCTTCCTCAAGTTTAATTATGAAGAGTAGTTTCACGTCGTTGTACACGCACGTAAAACACTGCTCACAGTCAGATATGCGCTACAATTGGCTTGCTTCTCTCCACGCTGAAATGGTTCCAGCCACGTTTAGTAACTGCATGAATCCCTCAACCCCTCTACCTTTCCGTCTTTCTTGTGGATCAAAAATAAAAACAGCGAAAACATGCCCTAATCGGAAAAAGCTATCACGTCACGTCCAGTCGCTCAGTGACTGACTCAAGCACACGTGTCAAGGGAAAAATTGGGTCCAGAGACGTATCACTGTGTCGTCCTCCTCGGTGCTCAACATTTTTTAATACAAAAATAAGCAAAAAACTCACCCCACGACGCGCGTTTTTCCTCCGCAGTGTGAATGCACCTGAAGAGGCAATGCCAGGTCGCGAGACGGGAGCTCAAGTTCAATATTTTTTTTCTCACGACAAAAATAATTTTTAATAATCTTTCAGAAATGAAAGACAGTAAACTCCTCTTATAAAGCCGTTATGTTTTGTATTTTTACTTGGACCACCTCAAGGTAGAATAGATGACTGTTTAGGCAGCAAAACTGACTTTTTTACAAGTTTATAATTTTTTATTTGTAAAATATTTGTTTGTGCAGCCTCAAACATTTTTCATTTACATTACATATGTGGCTTTAAAAAAAATTTTTAATTGCCAGATGCAAAGCAGTAATGAAATTTTAAAAAACTACAAAAGTGCTCAATTTTTTTTTTTTTTTTAATTTTGTTGAATTTATAAAATAAGCTTTTAACAATAAAAATTGTAGAATCATCCCAACAGACCAAGCCCAAAATCATTAGAATTTCATAAAACAGATTAAGAAGCATTTTGAAGAAAATTTAATTTTTACTCAATAATTGATTGATGCCTAGTTTTACGCCCAATTTAAAAGCTCAAACCACACCCTCGCCATAAAAAAAAAAAAAAATTCGGCAAAAATATTTTAGGAAAAGGTAAAAGACCTTGAGGTAAAAAGCCACGAATTTTCTTTTAAAAATCAAAAATGGTCAAGCGCAACGCCTGGGTTGTTTGAGATGGAATGACCCAGATGGGTTGTTGGTTGGCCAGACGTTGTGCACTCAAATTGCTCCCGTGCTTGGCGACTCTGTAGTGATGGCCATCTAATTACATATCCCCAACTGGGGTTGCAAAAAATTCAGCGGGAGACACGAAACGACAAGGAAACTTTTAAAAAAAACTGGTGAACTAGGCTCCCTGGAGTGGCGTCGACGAACATACTACCGTTTGCAGCTCGACATTGAGTCAGAACTGAGCGTCTCAACTCTGCACTTGTTTTGAGAAACTGTGCTCTAAAAAACAAGCTCACTTTAGTCGTTATGCTCCGTTTCACCTTGCGTCCGGCCGCAGCGAACGGTATGAACCATTGGAGCCAATTCAAGGCCGTGCGAGTTTTCTGTGGCCTTCAGGAGAAAATGCCATACGGAAAGCATAGTCGCCTGCTTTGTTCGCAGCTGGAGTGGCTGGGATGCAGCATCCGCCGGGGCCGGACATCAGGTGAAACGGGGTGTAGCAACAGTGATTCCTGCCGCATCAATTTTGTGTGTTACTGGGCGTGTTAAGTCCGTGCTCCGGAGTGCGAGAGTCTGGCGCTCCATTCACTGAACGAACAGGAGCGCTGCCGGAAACCGACACTCGAGCGCGCTCTTCGTGCACCAAGTATTTCTCGGGGCGCAAGTGACTTCTTCGCGCTTCATGACGTCACGCCCACAAGCAGGATGGCTGTGCTGACCAAACATTGTCGAGACAAAGGGCGCTCCCAGACTGCTGCCCTTTTCAGTTGAATAGTGCTTAATCCAGCCAGTGAAAGTGCTTTGCTTTGAAAGCTATGACAGCATTTATCGTTCCCAAAAACGCTAATTGCATCTCGCCTGACAACCAATTCATCTATCGAACATTAGCTTGCCGATAGCAGAGCAACAGAAAAGTTGTCAAGATGAAAAGACACTCGAACCAGTGCCCTTTTTAGAATGCTTAGCCCAGCGAATATTACAATTTCGAAACATCAGTTAGCGTTGCGAAAAAGGTTTGTTCATGCATCTCGCCTGAAAACGAATTGACGTGTTATCTATTAAATGGAGGTGGGCCAGTATCGGCGTAGCACATCAACGGGTTCCGTCTCACACTGCAAGACGAAACCATGGCACACCTGACAAGTTTCATATGGTGAATTCCGCTCGCAGATCTCGAGCGCTCCAAAAGCGCTCCATTTGGAGCGCGCATATTCCGCTCGCAGATCTGGCTCAAGTTGGTCATCTTCCGCTCGTAGATCTCTGGCAGCGCCCGCTCCACGGAGCGCCCCAAACTCCGCCGAACTTGCTCTGCGGGATTTCACAGATCTCTCCGGAAATTGACAGAGCGGCCCACGTGATTTCCGTCTAAATCGGCGGTGCGCATGCGCGGCGAGGTTGGAGAGATCGGCGGGCCGGTCGGGGCCACTGTGGTCGGGGCGGTCGGGCCGTCGGGCCGCGATCGGGTTGTGGAGTTGGATCTGTTGGGTGCGTCGGTTGTTTACTGTGGACTGTGACGGCTCGAACGCTTCTACCTCGCGTAGATCAGGGATAAAAAGCCGGGAATGTGGAGCGTGGCAAATCGTAAGCGCTGACATCTGTGATCACCGAGGAAGAACGACAGAAAAGTCGGAGGCAGACGCAAGGTTAGGCCTATTCATTCTGCAGCCAGTGATTGTTTACCTTTTTACACTGCATTCCATCGGCGTTTTCCCGTGAAATAAAGCAAGAAGTGGTTAGGCAACGACCGCTCAAGTGATGGTTTGTTACCTCTGTGTTTATTAAAGTCGTACTAGCAATCTGAACTCCACCGCTGACAATCGCTGTCCGTGCCCCGCCGCTTCGAGGCGGCCGAAAGGTATGTGACGGTGCCGAACGCGGACGTCTTCGCTATTTGTGACATGGGCGCCGTGGTACGTATAATTCCGCCCGGCCTGTGTCGCGTGTTACTTCTGCAGCTAAGCAGTGACAGTCGTCACTGGTCGTCGGAAAGATCAGCCGGCTGAGGCGTTGGTGGGCTGGTCAAGTTCGAGCAGCGGCCATTTTGAACGGCGGAAGGAGAAGGGGTGGGGAGGGGTGTGGGGCAGGTCGCTCCAAAAATGCAAGTTTATCTTCCCCTTGTCGATTCGGAGCGGGTCCCACGGAGCGGAATTTTGCCTCCCTCGCGGATTTTGGAAAGCGCTCCAGATCTACGAGTGGAATTCACCATTAGTTTCC